AATAAAATAAAATAGAAAAGTACAGATATAATAGACATGTATCAAGAAAATATTTTTTTTGTATTTTTGAAAATTTTATTTTGATCCGAAAGTTTTTGAACAATCACAAGAGAGTCCCTGGAACAAGACTACAAAGTCTCAGAATGTTCTGAGACTTCTAAATTTGGGCGACAGGGGACGTGTCGGCCTGGACCTGGGTGGCACTGGTGGTGTCGCCCGGGCGACACTGCTGATGTCGCCCAAGACAGGCAGGGTTTCGTAGCACCAAAACCCTGGGTCCTGGTCACAGTCGATTTTTGAGACTTTTTTGCCACTAAAAACAGTAAAAACATTGAATAAAATTAATGTTTCGGAACTCGGATCAAGCTCGAAATGCCCCGCAGTGGGTGTCAAACTATTTACGATGAAAATCGGACAGATCTTTCGATGAAGATCTCTCAGATTTTGACACATTAAACTGATAAAAATAATGTGGTAGAGAAAGTGGGACAAATCGAATTCATATATGAGGCCATATCTGCCAGAAACGAGCAGATCCGCTCTCAGATCTGCGGCAGAGCCAGCATGATCCAAAACATTAAAACACGATTTTAAAGCAGCAAACTGACCAAAATTAAATAAAACAGTAAGAAGGAGAAGAAGAAAATGATAAGAGAACAATACCAAACCGAGCCAGATGGCCCGGGACTCCTGAGCCTTCGAGGGCTCGCCCGTATCAGAACCTGTGTCCTCTTTGCCTCTTTGATTCAAAAGTTGACCAAAAGATCTCTAATTGAAAAGGGTTGTTGTGCCATAGAAATGGTTTATAACTAGGGTTCCTTAGGTCTAGGTTAAGGTTTCTCAGGCTTAGGGTTAGGGTTTTCAGATTACGATTTCATAAGCTCACTAAGTTTTCCTCTCCTCCCTCAAATGGCCACGAAAAAGGGTTTATAAAGGCCAATTATCTGTTGGGAAGGGCATCTTTCCATAACCAATAGATCCTCCAACCAAAGGCACAGTTTTTGGGGATTTGGGTTTGGACGACACGCATAGTGTCGCCGAAACAAACATGATAAAAACTACACAAAAGGGCAAAAAATCGACGGCCAAAAGAAATTTTTAATTTGGGCCTGAATATGGGCGACACCAACACTAGTGGTGTCGCCCGGGCGACATTAGTAGTGCCACCCTAGTCGGCTAGGCGACACCACTCGTGTCGCTCAGTCTAGTCTAGGCGACACCCAACCAAAGTTAGTCCAAACTAAAAATGTCCACTTCAAGTGTGTTCCTCAGCCTCTTGTGAATCTCTCAGATAAAATTTGGGTAAAAAAAATATTTTTCTACTATTTTTAATGAGTTTTTTAGTAAAACGGGGTGTTTGCAGGCTTCTGGGTCAAAACAGGGTATCTGCAGGGTTCTGGGTAGGCATAATGGCTCTCAGTAGGCAGAATGGCTCTTGTATATCCGGTTAATATGGAATGTGTATATTTTAATTTGTATATTTGGGAAGGGTAAATACAATATCTTATATTTGTAGTAAGTATGGGTATAGTATAGGAATATGTGATTTATTTCTATATTTTCTCATATGTAATTTGTCTATAACAGACATTCATATGATTAATGGACACTGAGTATCTTCAGATAAACCTGAGACTTTTCACATGGTATCAGATCCCGTTTCACCTTCATTGTGTCCATTCATCATCCCTGAAGTGTTGTTGCCGATTTGCAAGACGAGTTTGTTGTTCACTCAATCGGTGCCCTTCGGTCGAGACGTGTTTCGACTCTCTGCAAATTCTTTCCGGTTTTTCTTTGATCTCTTCCATCGGATCTAAAAGAAACTGTTCTCGTCTTTCAGTTCTCGTTCTCCTCTCTTGATTAATAGTAATTTTCCCTTTCTTTATTAGTCTTTGGATTTCTCGGAATACGGTTTCAAGTTTCTCTGGATTGATCATTAAATCTATGTATGATTCGTTGCTAAGCACCACCAGCTCTTCACTTTGCCGTAGCCTTTCTATCATTCATGTTACTTCCCATCACACCCTGACCTACCATCATCTGTTGTCCATGACCCGATGGTGTGGCGAAGGGGAGACACATGATTACCATTATGGATCCTCACATCTTCAGAGGGATGGTGTTTTTTGCACTTCAAAAACAGACCCAAAGTTGGGTACTATGTGAAGGATTATAGCGGACAGAATTATGATGGGTGGTGTTGACTTGGATCCTAATCATACTTGGAAATGTTCAATCCCGAGATTAGATCATGGTGGGTTGAGAAGTTCTCTTTGGAAAATTATATGGGTTCGACTCGCACGTTGTATATATGGAATGACATCTGTGTTTGATATTCCTGAGGTTATACATATGGTTTCTTGCTCGACCCAACCCAAATTGTGGGAGACCACTTTTGTAAATTATGGCGACCAATATTATTTGTTGAAAAAAAAAAAAACGTGTGTTCTACCCTTCTTAAGAATAAGCCTTGTCTTTGAAAATATCAGCCATTCGTCCAGTCCCAGTTATATTTGTTAGTGAACCCCTGAAAAAAAAAAAAAAAAAAAATAAACTGAAACACCCCAAAAAAAAGAAAAGTCCGAAACACCCTAAAAATCATGAGATCTGAATGGCTCTGAAATCTCAGACCGCCATTTTGATCGGATATTGTCATTGACCCTCTGAAAAACCAATCCAAAAAAAAAGAAATCATGCATTATTTTTGTTTTGTTTTGTCTCTTATTGTTTGTAAGATCGAGCAAGATCGAGCCTATTAATCTCGATCCTAATATTTGATCATTTGAAATTGAGACTCTTCACATGGTGTCGTGATCTCGATTTTTTTTACCTAGCATTGGAAAAACGAGACTAGAAAACCACTTGTGTAAGGTATCTTTTGAAGAAAAGGGAAAGACGTCCAAAGGGAAGTATTTGTTAAAAATAAATCAATAAAAATTCATGTTCCATTTATGTATAATCGAGTTTGTTTGTCGTGTTACTCGATCATGTTCATTCTAGTTTGCGAGCTGCTGAATTCTTCTCGGATCCGCAACGAGTTCTGTTGGCTCTTTTAAGTGTCATTTTGTTCTCTTAGCTGTCGTGATTCTGTTCTCTCAGTTGTCTTGAGTGCTTTGTCTGGAAATTTTTTGTCTGATTGATCGAGTGTACTCTGATTTGGCTCTTAGTTCATGAGGCCATTTGTTCCCGAGGCTTGTTGATCAGCCGTTGTATTTTGTGTTTGTTGATTAAGCAATCTAAGCATGACAACCATTGCATGTACTTGTTATGCTATACACATGAAGATCCAACTGCTTGTTTCCGCAATTAGTGTTCAAACTCGAGTTGCTCTCTTTCATAGCATCTTTAGTTTGAGGGGGAGTGTGAAAGAAAAGTATATATTGTATATCTAGTTAATATGGAAGGTGTATAATGTAATCTGTATATTTGAGAAGGGTAGATACAATATATTGTATTTATAGTAAGTTTGGGTATAGTATATAACTCTGTGATTTATTTTTATATTTTCTCATATGTAATTTGTCTATAAAAGACAAGTTCGTACATTCATACGATTAATGAACACTAAGTATCTTCAGAGAAACATAAAACTTTTCACAGTAGATAGCAAGAAACATAAGAATAGAGAATGAAATTTACCATTAAAAAAGAAAAAGATAATTACATGCGTACCTCTATTTACACTAAAGATGATAATTTTCTTTTTATGCTGCATAGAATTATCTAAATTGAGAGAAATCTTCTCATACCAACAAACAAAAGAACTCTATCTAGCTCCAACAATGTTCTCCTCTTCTTAGAGACCTCTCCGATCCATTAAAAGATCATTTCATGAATTTTTAGATACCAGTTTTTTTTTTTTTCCAAAGACCATGAATTACAGCAATAACATGAAGCTCTGATGCTTTGACCGACACTCATTAATCCAAAACTGATTCATTGAATCCACAATCCTAAGGTCCATTCTAAGCTAACTATATAAGAGATCAACACATTTGAAACTTACCATCTTATGCAATTCGTTCTTCATTTTGCTTGTGCCTCCTTGGCAAATATCCCTCAAATATCCCTCATTTATTATTATGAACAATTGTTCCATAGGTATAAAGCGTACATCTTAAATATGGATACAAATAGGTAGTCATCTAAAAACAATTGAAACTAACGATTCTACTGTTTTCTTAATAGAATTATTATTTCTAGTTTTCAAAATTTATTTATTTTTTCATATTCAGGATCTCCATGTTAAAGATTATATATTCTCTAAAAATTAGGATGGCATTCTATTTCAAAAATAAATATATTAAGGGGCTTGTATTTCTACATATGCGGGATTGGCCCGCATCCTTATATGATTTGGGATCTATCACTTTAAGTAAAAAGTGTGTGGTTTGTATAAGGCCGAGGCTCTGAACAATCAAAGTAAAGCACACCTTCAAATAGTATCGAAAGATGTTATTTCAATACGAAAAATATTTATGATGGCCTGAAAATTTATTTGTATCTCTTAGTATAAAATTTAAAAAATTCAAAAGTAATGTAGATTGAACAGATATATGAATACTTGAAAATCTTGAAAATTGACGGTCCAAAAATGCATTACAAGATGCACTTTTTCTCAGACTTGAAATCTATTTTTACTAGTATCCATACATCTTGAGGTTGAGATGATTAATTTAAAGATTTTTGGGCTTCAAAACAATACTCTTTTAATGAATTTTATCTAGACTATCCATTTTCGAGATTTTATATGTTTATTGCTCTATTTTATTTGAACTATTTTTAGAGTTCAAAATTTAATAATTAGAGATAAAAAATTTGAACTATTTTAGAGTTCAAAATTTAATAATTAGAGATAAAAAATAGATTTTCAGGCTATCCTAATAATTTTTTACCCCAAAATTACTATCTTATAATAAAATTTGGAGGTGAAGATTGCAACTTTTTGCAAACCACACCAAATAATTTTACAAAAAGAAAAAAGAAAAACAGAAGCACTTCCTATAATGCAGAGCCATGAAATGAGATAAATGGTTAAAGTTTTGAAGGCTTTGGGAAAGGCAGGAGGAACCTGATTTTTGAAAGGAGGCAAAAGGAAATGGAAATGGAAGGGGAAAGGGAGAAGGAGAGGGAGAATAATGGCGCCTCCTCTGCCACGTGCTGTGTTGTGGGTTTGGATTCCACCACCAACATATCCTACATTGCCTGCTCTTCCTGCGAGAAGCCCCTTCATACCCAACACAACCCTTCCTCCACTCCCGCTCTCTGTTGCTCTTTCTGCAAATCCTCTTCCTTCAAAAGATTCTATCGTGTAGTGGTATCTTCATTCTTAACTCCACAACTGCTCTTATTATTATGATTTTTTTTTTATGTTGTCCCGGATTTTGGGTAATACCTCTTGTATTATTGAATTTGGGATGTGTATTTTGCGCTTTAGCGAATTTTAGATTTTGAATCTCTCTGTTATTAATGCTGCATTACTAATTCACATGCATAAATGCAATTGCCATGGAACAAAACATATATTTTAGGTAAATAAAGCTAGTTTAGCTGCTTACAATTCTTATTTGGGTTAGATTTCTGGGGTTTGGTACACCTTACTGGTATTCTTACCTCAATCTCTATACTGCAAAATGACAACTTCATTTTTGAGATAAATGGCTCCTATGCTTGTTGATGATTTTTCTAGTCGGGTGCTCTTTAACAAATATTACAATGTTTATTATATTTTGCAACCAACTCTGAAGTGCAGTTATTCTACTTCTATAAAGACATAAGGAAAACAACATTCTTGTCTGAGTCCAAAGGAATGAAGAAATTGGAATCAAGAACTGCCAGATTATTGCAAACCAATTTGATCTTGGTCCCTTTCACAACCATAAGTCCTGATGAAATAAGTGTTCATTCTATGCTGATGTAGCTGGACTACTTTCTCCTTGTGTCATAACTAACTAAAGACTTTCTCGCTCAAAAAGCTCTTCTTAACTTCCTTTTATTTCAGCTTTTCGTTTTACTCAACTTGTACTTGTCCAAATTTCCAGTGGGATACTTACAATTCACTCCTATATGTCTACTCCAAACAGATTCTTCTTATTTTTTCTTATCAATAGTGTGATTTAGTTACATAAAAACTAGTTATTTACAAGGAAAAATAGCAGCATAAAATGACTGCACCTATAGGAATGTAATTTCACTTCTACTTCCATTAGTAATATAGAATGCTCGTAATCCATAGTGTAGAATATGCCACAGTAGAATATAAGAATGTAGTTGTATGTATAGGTGTACCCAGTGGATGGAGAAATATTGTATTGCCCCAGTTCTTGTTTGAACAATCAGACGGAAGGATGAATAAATGGGCCTTACTGTATACTCGTTGCATTTGTATTTAAATGAATCTAATGGAAATATATGGAGCATCTAAAAAGTGGTGAAAGGGGCTTGAATATCCCACTGCAAAAAGTGGATGGTTAACACCCTATCTACCTAGCCCATATAGAACATGGAAGACATAAACCAACAATGGCATCCAGATCTTTGAACCTCTCCAAACTCCATGATGCCATGAAATAAGTGACTCACGGTGGCGAACCCTTGTGTTTATCTTCCGAGAGCTTACCTCTAAGAGCAATTGTTTCGTTAGTGGTTGTTCTTTACTATTGTAGGATTCAAAAAGAATTGTGCAAAGGTTTTGTTCCCAATGAGGTCCACAGGCCTTCACCTTGTAACATATCTGGATATGGCCTCTCATTAGGACCAGTAACTTACGGACACCTACTTATGCTCAGATCCAAAAGGCCAGAACTGTGACTTCAGTAAATTCATTGAAAGAGAAAACAATAATGTGGTGTGGTGTGTGTGTGTGTGTGTGTGTGTGTGTGTGCAAATGCATGCACTTACATACATACATCCAAAGGTTTGAAGCTCCCTTAGCACATCCAAAAGTTTAAAATTCACTTAGCAGCTTCAATGGACCAGAGTAAATGAGGAACAAAAAGATTAAATTATTAAAACACTTTATATGAGTCTTCTCATAATTCTCAAAAGTTGGTGCACTCTCTTTGGCAACTTTGTAACCGAAGCTTGGAATTCCAAGGATGATGTAATTTTAGTCCATGGTTATCCGTGCCTTATCTAAGAGTTTTACTAAATGTTCATGCAATTACTGAATTTCAATTTTTTAAGTCTTCCCTTCAATTCTTTTTTAAGTTAGTGAAGTTCTGTATTAAATAGAAATTTGAAAAATGTATAATTTGCATGTAATTGTTGATATACAAAATTATGGTACTTGGGTTTCTTCATATAATTGCCGCAGGGAGCCAAAAGTTCCTTCTTGGGAGAGGGGCCTTTCAATTTGTTCCATATGTGTTTAAAATACACTTAAATGTTGCTGCTTAACTCGAAAATTTGGTCGAAGATGGGTTGTAGCCTCCAAGTACAGGGATTGACTTTTTGCTCAATTTATCATGTTCATCGAATCCCCTTCAACATAACAATGGACAGCCCTAGCTGCTTACTAGTTGCAATCCACTGAACAGGCCAGGGCCTCAGGACGGGTAGAGCTGGCATGTCCTATCAGGCCTGAGTATGCAAGGAATGTTTTGGTTGAACAATTATGGAAAATGCCGCCACTACAAGCCAAGTCCAGGTTACCAGGAAAGGAGCAATCAAAATTCAGTTTGACAGCACTGGTGGCAAGTGGGTTCCAAAGTGAAGATATGGAAGTAAGCATTGGTTTGGACTTTGGAGCAAAGGTGTTACTGGTGCTTCTCTAAGCCCACCACTGAGAAATATCAAAATTCTTGGCAATATCAAATCCAAAAGATAATGGTGGCTTTCTGTTGATCAATGATCGCATTTATGTGGAATTCTTTGCTTTAAAAGGCTATTATGTTTCGTTCCAACCAAATAGTCCATGTAGTTGCTGATATAGTAGATGGTCGTAAATGCAGGCCCTAGGAAGAGAAGGTGGAAGAGGGAGAGGAGGGGGAGGGGAAGAGAATATTTGGATTATTTCAGGCATGATCAAAACCCAGGCCAACTGTTTTAAGATGAAAGCGAAATGCCGTAGGCCACCCTACCATGAATAAATAGATGGTCCATGGAATCCTTGCTTTCTTTACACAAGGCACACATATTGGTGAGTGAGTTTTCTTCTGCTGGAAGTGGTCTATCTTTGGAATATTTTTTAATTTGGCTAGCCAGCTGAAGGCCTGGACCTTAGATGGAGTCAGGGCGAACCACTCTCGTGAAACCATAAACGGGGAAGAATGTGTCTGGTTGCTTTTGGTCTTATCAGAATAGGAGAAAGGAAATTGAAAACTCACTGATGGAAGTATGCCAGATGAGTTCATCTCTGCCATGTCGAGGAATAAAGTATACCAAACGCATTGTGGGAATGACGGAAGCTTCTCTCTCACAAGGGCAAAAGCCTCTCTCTCTATTTCCCTAGTTAGGGTGCTTTCCTCCTAGGCCCACTGTGTCCCATCATCTGCACGCCTTCTTCGGAGGTCCATTTGGCCTACCCCATCCATATCTTTCTCTTCACTATTTTCCTCCATGTCCAACATCTCTCCTCCTGTCCCTAGATCTGACCACTCCCATCCGCCCCTGCCCCCACTATATCAAAATTATGTGCACCTATTAAGACCATCTTATCTCTCTCCTTCTGCCCCTAGACCTACAATAAGGGTCAGCAAATTGTAGAATGGGGGTGAAAACTACAGTCAAGCCAACCCTTGTTGGCCATTTCAAATCACAATGAACCGAACCGAACCTGGGCTTTTGCAGACTACCTAATGATGCTATCCTATTCTCTTTCCTAATGGAAGGGTGTGCCATTAATGTCCTACACAATAAGAACCCTCAATTCAAGGGAGCTTCCTTTTGCCTGGTCCCTTGGGCTGGCCTCCATAAACCGAAGGTTTGACTGAAAGCCACTGATATCCCCCTTCCTTGTGTGGCATAATGATACTTTTAGACAGATTGTTGAGGCCTATCGCAATTTCATTATGGTCCATTGGAGGTCCTTTGAGTTTCTCGTGCTAGGAACAATTTAGTTGCTCATTGAAACCGTAGATACCCAACTTATCCCTTCCAATTTGTGGCTTGCACAGAAGGTCCCTTTTTCCAAGTTCATATCGCCTGGTATTCTGTATCACATACCCTTGGCGGCCATGGACGGGACCATAGAGTAAAGCTGAAGAGGGATCATGGTAAGTTTCATAGAGAGAAGACTACAGAAGTCCATGAAGGGTGAACTGCTGAAGTCTATAGGCGCCACAGGTCATCAAATGGTGAATTGTATGGTTGTCATGCTAGTACCCCTAAGACTCGATTGTAGATGCGAATGCATCTCAACGTTGATGTCCCCTGCTCTTCCCATCTTCAGGCCTCTTCAATGCAAGGTTGACAGAAGCCCTAGCCAGCTCCCTTGGATGCCTCCACTTCAGGTCTACTATCATCATGTGTGCCGAAAAGCCTGTCAGTTCATGTGGAGGGAGGATCACTTCAAATTTCAAACTTCTTGCCTTGCAACTATCGGTCTTCCCTGCAATTGGTACATGAGACATCTGGCTCCCCTACCCCCAATGAATTCCCATCATTGTCCAGTGGGGCTGAGCTAATCTCCATCAACAGCCCATAGTCGTCTCCCTTCACCCATCGCGTGATATTCTACCACCTCATTCAATGGGTACGGAGGCCCATGCTCCTCAGTGCAATCGGAGGCTACAGTCTCACTGTGTCGTGACAGCCATCCCACCAACCTTATCCCCTCCTCTGCCCATGCCGCTCCCCATAGCGGTTTGTTACTCATCGCCGAACTTAACCCCTTCCCACCTCTCCTGGGTAAAGGCTCGCACGTGCTACCCAGGGAGGCCCCTCTGGCCATATCATATATGAGGCACCAGGCTCGTGCCAACCCCCTGTCACCTACCCCATCCCTCCTCCCTCTCATCCACGTGTACTTTCCGCTCGGACTCTACTTTCTTCACTATCAATGTAGATTCCAACCCCCCACCCCCTCCTTTCCTCAGCCAATACGCCACACCACCTCTTATCCCCCTTCCTACCTCTTCCATCTTCCATCCTTCATAGTGGTAGGTCCCCTACCTGTTGGCCCTCCTTCCCCTTCCAGACCTACAAGATCAGTCGTGCTCAACCCAACCACAATTTCCACCCCCACCTCCCTTCATCATGTCACTTGCTTACCCCACCGATGCCCCTCTCCCCTGCCCTAAATACCCTTCGGCAGGCACCCAGTCCTTTGGCCCACACACATTGGCAGGAACCCATCTTCTTCCCAACCCATTCCTC